CGTACGTTCGTTACGTTACGTTACGTTACGTACGTTACGTACGTAGGTAGGTAGGTAGTAGTAGTTACGTTACGTTACGTCTACTACGTACGTAGTAGTAGAGAGAGAGAGAGAGAGAGAGAGAGAGTGTGTTATTTGAGGTTCTCTCTCCAATTACTGGTCTGCCCTACTCTGCGTCTAAAATCCATTAAATGAACATCTTTCACAGGAGAGAGAAAGAAGAGAGAGTCGATAGATAGAGGAGGGTGAGAAAGTAGAGAGAGAGAGAGAGAGGGGAAGGGCGAGCATGGCGACGAACGGGTGCTGCCCTCCTATGGATCTGTTCAGGTCAGAGCCCATGCAACTGGTTCAGCTCATTATCCCCATGGAGTCGGCCCATCAAACCGTCTCATACCTCGGTGAAACTGGCCTCTTTCAATTCAAAGATGTAAGAGAACAATCACATTTTCTCTCTCATCAATTTCAATCCACGGTTCTTTTCGAAAGAGAATAAGAGACTCAATTTGTTTGATTGTTGGACTTCCCTCCTTATTCTGAGTTAGATCAGTATATTGCTCTGTTTATTTGCTTTCTGGTGTTGTTATCGATGGATAGTTAGGGTTAGGTTCTGGGCATTTAGGGAATTAGGTTATCAGGTTCTCGTTCCTTTGTGGAATTTTGATTGGTGGTTATTACAGGGATAAAATAATTGCGGTTTTAAAGTTAATTGCTGTGTGGCTGGTTGCAAATGGTGGTTACTCAATTTTCTGAATTAAATTATTATTTATTTATTTTAGTTGTGATTTTTATCATTATTCAATTATTTATGACATTGGGAAACTATCGGTCCATTTAGTTATCTTGGGATAGATTGGAATATAGAAAGCAGTCAACACATGTTCGAGGAAGATAATTTTCTTGCTATTGTTAAATTTTGTTTGCCTGGTCCCCTAAAATCACTTAGATCACTGTTTAGCAAGCAATACAAAATTTATTCAGTGAAGCAGACTGTAATGTAATGAATGTATGATGATGATGATGATGATTCAGTATTAGAACTGGAATATCAGGAAGAAAAATTGCATTCTATACTCGTTTGAGCAAATTTTTGAGAGGTTTGACTTTGAGATTTGGCTGCAGTGGTAAATTTGAGACTTATCAAGGTGAACTGAGTGCTATATAAATGGGCATATTAGATTCAGTCTATTCTGAGAGCGAATTAATGTTGAGCAGTAGTTATAGTTTCAATTGTTCCTGTGGATTATTTGTTCAATACAATGATGCTTATTTTATTTGCTTTTTCATGTTACTTTCACTTGTTGCTTGCATATTTTGTTTCTTATTTCTCATTTTAGGAATGTCTGTGATGTGTGTAACATTCATACTTTGCCGTCAGATTTCTGTTTATTTATTCTTTTGTGTTGGTCAATGGATTCGTGTGAAGAAAGGAATGTGCAAATGAATAAAAAAAAAAAGGCACCATTTGGACATCATAGTAATCATACTAAGAAATTTCCCTAGTTACTTTTATGGGCAATCCTCAAACACTGTAATATAAGTAGTCATATTCATAACAGATTTTTTTTTTTCTTTTTTTTGTTTGGGGGGGCGGGGGGGTTCGTGGTGGTGGGGGAAAGGGAAACAATTTTCTCCCTTATGTCCTACAGGTGTTTCAGTAGAGTTCTGGAAATAAGTGGGTTTACACAAAGTAGACTCCCCCCTGAATAGAGGTGGGCTAGGTCCTACGGGTGTTGAGTAGAGTTTTGGGAATTAGTGGGTTTACACAAAGTAGACTCCCCCCTGAATAGCGGTGGACTGGGTTGAGACACCTATCACTTTTAAATGGTTGTAAGTAAGAAACAGTGATGTTGATTGGAAAACATGTTTTGAAATAGGGCCTGTACTGTTGCTCTATTAGGTCATTCAACGATTAAAACTTGTTGAGACCAAATCGGACTCAGCCGAGTTACTTGAGCTTGCTGAGTTCGGAGGAAAGACCTTGGCAACCAGCTGAACTTCGCTGGTTCCCAAGTTTTTTTTTTTCTTTTGTATATCTTTCTAAGACTTGGTTAAATCTCACTCCTACCCAGCAAAGTCGAGTCGCTTGAGCATCACCTAGTTTAGATATGGCGCCCTTGTGGCAATCTATTTGATTTTTTGGATAGGCCCAAAGAGTCGGGATTTCGTCATCGGTCCTGGTCCTTTTGTGGCAAGTAGATCACTTCTCATAAGGGGATGAGCTACAATAGAATGATTTGGAGTTCTTGCAAAGTGGAACCATGCATTACCAGACATGAGATAGATCCTCCCAATGACATGGTTTTTTCGAATAAGCTCCTGATTTCTAGCAAGTTAAATTGGCCGACCAACATTCAGTTTTTCCACATTTTATTTCTAATTAATTTTAGGGGGAGTATTAATGAAATGGTCAAAGTGGCTTAACAAATCAATGAAGTGTTTAAATCAACTAACATAACAACAAAAGTGATTACTTCTTAAAGATCATTTTATTTATGTGCATTCTTAATTATTCTGTTAGAAAGTACCCAAACTGCCCTTGTTTCCAGTTTGGCCTAAGCAAGTGTGGGCATTTTAGTTTTTTGGCCACTTAAACGATTCAAAGCAAGTGGCCTTTATATCCTGCTTAGTCCGGGTCACAAACCTAGAACATGTGTTTTTAGTTATAAAATCTTGTTTCGGGTTTGGTTACTTGAACAAGCAGAGGTACTTACATCTTTTGGTTTAGTAACTTGAGTGGGGCCAAATTACCTAAATACCCTCACTTTTTCCAGGCCCTATCTCAAAACAAGATTTTTTTTAATAAAAAAAAATAAAAATAAAAACATGTTATGGGTTTGGAACCAAGAGCAAGCAAGGTCAAGTGACTTAAGTGGGTCAAATTCCAAAAATGCCCCTGTTTAGGGTTACAGACCCAAAATAAAGGATTTGGGCATAATGAAATTCTTGACGTACCTAAATGAATGGATTTTTAGAAAGTCACCACCTTTTTGTCAGTAAAGTTGTTGATTCATTGATTTTTTGAGGTAGTTTAACTATTTTAATGATATTTTCCCTTATTTTTCGGACTGGATGTTAATAATAAGGCATTGACATGTGATTTGCATGAAGCCCTGTTCCCCGCATTTGACTAGAAAATTGAGAATCATGTGCTTTTTGGTGATATAGAATAATAGCGACAGAAGTATACTCTTCTTGGACTTTTTCTCCGTGGCTGTTATTTGTAGTATTTACAATGAGCAATGGAAACTTAGTTTCAGGACATCAGTATTGGTGGTAGTGCTTTATCCAAAGAGATGCTGCATATGGAATAAGAATGTTAACCCTCTAGAACAGTGTAAAAAAGTCACTGCTTCTTCTTTCTGTATTCTGGTGCTCTTGCTTCCTAGAGGCTTCTAATTACTAAGTTCTATGCAGGCGAGTTCAGAGATTAACTTATTAGGTTTGTCTTGATATGGTGAATTTTGAGTTTGGTGTTTTTATAATGGAAATATCTTAAGTGCAAAAATATCTATTTTCTCATAGCTATTATCGACTTTACTCCAAAATGCTGGAACTTATGTGCATCATGCAGTGAGAAGCATGCTCTCTGTTATCTTAATGTGATTTAAGCACTTGGAATATTTTTTCATGGCATCAATACTTTGACGAAATATGCGAACATTAATGATTAGAAACCCTCAGAGAAGAGGTAGATAACCTTAATATTTGTGTCTCTATTTTTTTCTCTCAGTACCTTACTACCTTTTTAATCTTTTCAAGTTTCAAATTTGAATTGTTTTTTTTCTTTTTTTCATATATATTGTTACATTGACTGATTTTCCTGTGACATACTTCCTACAGCTGAACGCAGAGAAGAGTCCTTTCCAGCGTACATATGCCAACCAGGTTGATTTTGTTATTGCTTTAATTTATTGACAGTCTGAGAAATAGAATGCTGCTTCCCCATTGTATATTGTGCTTCTACTTAAGATTAAATCATATTTTATACACATGATTTGAGTGCATGAAATTATTGTATAATTTATTCAGTAATATATGTTGTGAGATCATTTTTGTTTTTTCCTATGTCTGTGACAGTGAGGGACATCCCATAGGGATTACCTCACTTCTTCCCCCTTCCCCCCCCTTTTCAAAAAGTTATGTATTGTAATAATGTATATGTGATACAGAATTTTTGTATTCAATTCACATGCTATGGATGCCAATCTTAAACATACTACAAATATCGCTCAAAAAATGCCTTTCTTTCAAAAAAAAAACTACGAAGTAACAATGTGATCGAAGAAGAGAAAGGAAGAGGAGGGGCACAGTGGAGAAAGAAGTCAGAGGTAGGTTCTTGGACCATGAATCAACCACTACCATAAAACTTTCCTGACTGGGACAAGTTGGATCTGATGCTCGTTCCTGTGCTCCTTTTATGTGATGTGATAAGCAGTAGTCTTCATAGTGCGATCTTCGCAATCTTTATCAAGGCTGTCTGCTAGAGCATTGGCCTGTCTCCATGTGTGACCATAGTATATTCGTAGAGGAATAGAAATTTCGTTTATCTCTTCAAAGATACGCTCTATGGACCAGGGGCAAGGGTATAACTTTTGAGCCCCATTGAAGACATTCAAGGAGTCACCCTCCATCATCAAAGAGGAGCCCCATGATTGCTGGAATGTCTTGAGCCCTACTAGAGAAGTTTGTGCTTCAGTCACTGTTGCAGTTGTGTTACTTATAGGGCCTGAGAGAGATACCAGCATCGAGTTTGTGCTGTCCTTGAATACTCTGGCACTACCTTCTCTTCCCGGATTACAGTGAAGCACCCAACAAAGTTGAGCTTGATGGTGTCTGGTTCAAAGGCGATCCGGCCATCATGTAAATTTCCTGGTGCCTGGTCCTGACTCCTGATTGTCCTGCTATTCAAAAATGGTGATTGTGTAAATTACTCATATGCAACAGTTAAGTGTGGTTCTGTCATAAATCAAAGAACATGGATTTTCATATTTTTTAATTTGGAAAGTTGATGTTGTCTTTTATATTTTTGTGACTGGAGCTCTTGTGGATCATTCCTTCCTGGGAATGAATAGGAAGTGGCATGGAGTGCATCAAATTTATTGGTTCACATGCATTCGAATGCCCCAGGGTTGATCTTTAAGCACCTGAGATACAAATGGATGATGTCCTGTAGTTGCAAATTCTAGCCTCGTGGATCATAACTTCTAACCAACATTTCAGACCTTTATTTGAATAGCCTAGTTTAGGTAATAGATTCAGCCATGAATCAGAGCTTTTAGACAAAAATAAATCGGACTAGGAATCATATCACGAGTTGCGAAACAAGCAGCCAGGTATTTAATTGCAATTGAAATTACAGTTCATTTTAGATTTTCACTATCCATATCTTCTTGATTATCTGGATTTATTCCATCCATTGATCTCTGCTTCTTTATAATTCTTTTTGTTGATTTGAATTTTCTCAATTTTTTAAAAAAATGATTTGAATTTTCTGAAATTGATAACACATGGATGAATTATTCTTGGTGAAGTAGTTGTTAATTAGTCTCTTCATTTATTATCGTTTCTATTCATGTACATTTTACAGATAAAACGGTGTGGTGAAATGGCACGCAAATTACGTTTTTTTAAAGAGCAAATGAGTAAAGCTGGAATATCACCGTCAACAAGGTCTGCTTCATCTCCTGATATTGACCTAGATGATTTGGAGGTATGTGGAATTTCAATTTGTCGCTGGAAATTTGTTGTTAAACTTTCTTGTCTAATTGAATACACATGCACACAAATATGCATCTAGATATTAAATATGATGAAATTGCGTTTACCAGATAAAACTTGGAGAGCTTGAAGCTGAGCTTATAGAAGTCAACTCAAACAATGAAAAGCTGCAGCGTACATATAACGAGCTTATGGAATATAAGCTTGTTCTTGAAAAGGTATGTATTTCTTCATCTATATAGATTTGCTGGGAATATTGCCTCTCTCTTAGTCTTTGTTAATGTGATAAATGTATTTTATATCCATCTATGCTGTACCGCGGGTTAAAACTGTGGAGTATCACCTCGAGCAATCAAGACATGTATTTTACTCTACTCGCCTTGAAGATTGGCCGTGGCATGTATATTAAACTGTACCAATGCAAGACATTTTTGTATTAATGTGGGTAGGAGAAATGGTGATACTTGGTAATAAATTATGCTTTGTTATATACCTGATAGAGGGAGGTATAATACCATTTGTCCATAAGTTTAGATGTTCTTATCTCAACTCACATCTAATTGGAAATTTAATGTGCTTGCTTATTATAATTTAGGTTTTCCTTAACAAATTATATCATGCCTTTGGTATGATTTTCTTGTATTCATTAGTCTTGATATTTATGGGGTGCTGGAAGAGAGGTTATTTTAATGGAAAATGGGGCTGAGGAGTCAGCATTTTCATTCAGCATCCAGATTGGCAAACAAAATATTTATCTAGAATTTGGGAAGTTCCATAGCCTGCCAGTTGCTGTGAGTTCTGTAACTGTTAAAATGAGCTTATTACAACTATATGTACTGCTGAGATAACTAAAGGTAGAATATGTGGGATGGTTGATTTTTCTTTAGGGAAAAGTTTACATACAGCCTAGGTTCTAAACAATCAAATTAGAGCCTACCTCAAAAATTTCAGTAGAA